ATCGGCTATTGCATCATCCCATGAATGTAATTCAAACACTATTATTTTATTGACATAAACGGCGTGCTTTTCGTATTATCACTCGTCTAAGTTTAATCAGCTTTTCATCATTTTCTCTCCTCTATTAACCCTTTTTCTTCAATTCAACTTTTGTTCATTCTAATATCCAATGTCTCTTTAATTTCTTTCTTCTCTCTCTATTCTCTCATTCTTTTTTCCACATCTTTTTGATGATATTTGATGTATGCATGCTCATGCTATCATGAAATCCATGCTCATGTTGCACTGTGATGCATATTCATGATATTAAGATGCATGTTCAAACTTGCTGTCGTGCATGTTCATGCTATTATGTAATGCACATTCGTGCTACGAAATGCATGCTTGTACTACTGCAATATGAATGTTCTACTTCTATGAAATGCCATTTAAGTAATAATTACGTACCAGTTATCAGTTTCCATTTATTTTCGCTCTTTCCAAAATGTAAAACTTAAGTGAAATGTTTTTTTTTTACTTACTCAAAAATTCTTTACTCAAAATAAGGAAGTATTAGGAGAAATAAATCCAAATATTAACATGTAAGCACTATTCAAAAATACCTACCTTATTAAATTCTCTTTTCCATCAAAAAATAAATGAAATCTCAAATTCACAAAGATATATATGAATTTTAAATACAATATTTCACAAATTTTGATAACATTTTTTTTCTTTCAATTCTCTCTTTATAACAATGATACCAATTTATCTCTTCAATTTGTTAGAAATGTTATGTTTTAATGTTTTACTTTAAAAACATGAGTTAAATTATGTAATTTCAATGACTACACTATCTTTTTTTTTCGCATTTCAATTGAACGAGCAAACAAAGTGCGTAGAGGAGAAAAAATTTCAACAAATAAAATTTTATCAACAATGGTGTTATTTATCAAATCCCATGACACTGATCATTAACGATCGATGATTATCAAACTATTTATGATTCTTTTCTTTTCCAATCACATCGTTTGGAATATCGAATTACAATAATAATAATCAAATAATTAAAAGTTTTCTAACAAAATTTTTTTAACAGAATAGTAAGCTCAATTTGCAGATCATCTTCATGAATATTCAATATAAATTCAGGAGGAGTACATTGAAATTAGAATATGTTGAAATTGAGCTTTTCAGTTTTATGGTGATATTATTGTAATTCGATATTCCAAACTAACTAATCAGTACTCGAAAATTTCTCATGTAAAAATTACTTTTTTGCCACAGAAAAATATAAATATTTATATTTTCTATAATTGTATAACAATTTCGCTAAAGAATGAAGAATTCGCTCTTTATTACCTCTTTAACGTCTCATTTTTCATTTCATTTTGATTACACTTTTTTTATAACTTAACAATAATTAAATTTCTCTTAGCAAATGATTTAATTATGCGCAAAAATTTCAGAAAATTTAATAAACGTCATTTTAGCCTTGAATGCTTTACTTTTTTTATCAAATTTTATTTCTTTTTATTCTTTTCTTTGCTCAATCGCAAAATTAAGTAGAAGTCTTTCATAAAACAAAAAAAAAACGCTTCTGAAAAGCTTTAGACAATGAATTCAGAAACTATTAATGGGGAAAAAATTGTGATTTGAGTGGAAAAAAGAAAGAAATTTATGTCCAAAATTTTGCTAAAAAATTAAAATGTATAAGCTTTTTACTAAGAAAGCGTTCGTCGATTGTTGCTTTCCTAGCAAAAAGCTTCATACATTTTTTTATGAATTAAAAAAGGACCGACGAATTTTAGTTGTTTTTCAATGTATACTATTTTCAATTGGCCATTGTTTTATAAATTTAAAAGCGTTAAATTTGCCAAAAAAGCAAAAAATTTACAACTTTATCGAGCAAATTTATTATTTGTTTAATTAGCAACTGTTTAAGACATAAATAAGTGAGAAATTTGCTAAAATAAAATAATAAATGTGTTATAATAATTTTTCTTTTAAATTTTTCATAATTTTTCTTCCATTTTTTTGTGCTTACAGATCGAAGGACTAATAAATTTCTCACACAACTTTTATTTAAGCCATTCCTTTAACAAATTCAAAATTTTTTATTAAGCTGAATTTAAAATTCGGCAAAATCAATATTATAAAATAAAAAAAAAGTTTAAAAAAAAAGAAAATATTAGAAAATCAAAAATTTTTGCAAAGATTATGAAGAAGAAAGCTGTTCTTTCCTTTTACCGAATGAATAAATGGAGCGAGAAAAAAAAAAATTTTTTTTCGTAACATATTTATTTTCGATCATAAAGTAATATGATTCCGGCATTTTATGCGAAAATTTCAAGAGATCAACTTACAAATCATTCTCTCATTGATTTTTCCCGACTTTGCATTCCTCTTCCTCTCCCCTATCTCTCTCTCTTTCATCTAACTAATTATTTTGATATTAAGAGTTTCAATGACTTTGTAAGTTGATCTCTTGAAATTTTCGCATAAAATGCCGGAATCATATTACTTTATGATCGAAAATAAATATGTTTGAAATTTCTGAAGATTATTTTTATTTCATTACAACTGTCATTCATCATACGTATCATTTTCAAATTGATGACTTTTCCGAAGTTTGCAACCTCTCTCCCTCTTTCATCTAACTATTTTGATATGAAGTATTGTGATGACATATTTAAAACTTCCGAAGACTATTTTCATTCTATTACAACTGTCATTCATTAAACAAAATCATAATTAGATTGTCAGAATCGTAATCTTTTAAAACCATTTATTAAATCTCTATCGAATTATTAAGTAAGATTCTTGCCAATAAGAATATCATTATACAATGATATTTTTAGTGATAATTAAAAAATACTATCTAACAGTGACATTTTGGAAATATACGTAATTAATAGTTATTAATTAATCCACAAGACAGGTATGATAACATTTCAGTAATAATTTCAAATTAAATTTTTGCTGAGAAAATAAAAAATAAAAAAAAATTGTTACATTGTGATGGTTGATAACATTGAAAACATTGTAAACATTCTAATTTATTTTATGTATGCAACAAATTAGTCTTTTGCTCGAGGGAATTGTTGAAGAATAAAATGCAAATTTAGTGGTCATCCATTTATTTTGATTATCCGTGCAAAAATAAATAAAAAAGAAGAATAAACCATTCAGGAAAAAAAAGAAGAAAATAAGCACGTTTCTTTTTTTCTTTTTTTTAACTTATCGCTTCACCTTCAATATTTCTTGATGGAAATTAATTTTTTTTTGCTTAAATAACAGCAACCCTATCAATACTGTCATTTTAATGGCATAATTTTATTGTCCATTATTATTTTCTCTACTTTATTTACACTTGAAAAATTTTAAATCCTACTTTAGTTAAAAATAAAAATTTCATTGAAAAACTTTTTCAGTATTGCTTTCCATCCTATACTTTGTGCAAATCTGAAAATAAAGGGGAAAAAAAATAGAATTTAATTTATTATTGCTTATCAATATTACTGCTTATCAATGTATAGCTGGAATTATGAAAAAAATTTTACAAATTGAAATTTTTTAATCAATTAAAATGTTGTTGAAGAATTTGACTGAATTTAACATTTAATACTTATATTGTCGTATTATTACATTATTTGTTTGAGAAAATCTCCATTAATCAGTTTCTCATCATTCAATTTCCCTTTCTATTTTTTTTCCTCCATTCTTATATCCTTTCATTTTATCTTATCTTAGTTTTTCATCAATTTTCCTTCCTGATACTATTTTTTTTTCTCTTTTGAGTAAAACTTTTCATTCCCCTTTTTCCTCTCTCTCTCGCTTTCTCTCTCTCTTCTCTCCTATGTTTTAAACGAATTTTTTAGCATCATTCATGACATTATTCCCATAGCTGATATTGGACTTAAAAAGAAAAACGGAATCATTTTATCACGAGCAAAAATTTTCGTACCGAAAGGATGAAGTAGAGAGAGAGGGAGGGAGAGGGAGAGAGGGGGAAGAAAAGAGATGAGAGGAAAAAAGAATTGTGGAAAAAATGCTTTCAAATAATTTTTCACTCCTCTACAACAATTTTTGATTTAAATTACAATAAAGTTAAGTAATTCTTCTATTATTTCAATACCTTTTTCTTCTGCAGGTATCAAATTTTACCGTTGAAAATTTCTAAATAAACATATCTCTTTGATAATGAAGAAAAATCCAAACAGATAACAACAAATGTTTACAACGCTTTTTTTTCGTTAACTGCCGATCATTATTCTAAAAGCTTTTCACATTTCTAATTTTGAGAAGCAAAAAAAAGAAAGCTTACATTTGATTTCATTGTTAGATCGACAAAATTACATTCCATCAATATCTTTTAAAATGAAGCAAATCATTCTTTCATTATTGCTATTTTTCCCGAAAGTTTATTTGAGCCGTAGTAAAATCCTTATCATTATCACCTATGGCTATGTATATTTATAGTTTAGCTTTGTCTAACTATAAATAATAATAATAAGAATTTTGCTGTATATTTTGCTGATAATATATACATTAAAATAATATACATATCTTTTTTTATTGGCATATTGTCATTTGTTATGCATTGATACTTATTACATACAGAAATATCACTATCACCGGATTCACAACCTAATCTATTGTTTATGCTACTTGTGTGTTTATACGATATCAATGATAATAATATTAGTCTATTATTTGTATGCTTATCAGATTATCTTTCTTATCAATTTGTTTGCAGAATATTACATTTCTTAAAATATAATTTTTTAATTTGTGAGAAAAGCTGCAGGAAAAAAAATAATAATAGCGATATTATTACGCTTGCGATATGGGTCATTACAGTGATAGTAACATTAATGAATGCTAATAATGATATCATGATATCCTGGTAGTGATATGGATGAATGTCTAATAAAATTGACTATGTCACAATTAACAATTAACAATTATTGACACAATAAATAATGATATATATGGTAATTATTTACGAGGAATGAAAGATGGCTAGCAATAATAATACTGCTATAAAACAGTGCATTGAATCTGAAGTAAGTTAATTCTTTAAACTTAATTAATCATAAATTGTTTTTACTTTGCAATTGAAATAACGCAAAAATTAGTATAATTTCATTAAGGAAAAAAACAGTTCGATTCAAATTCAAAGTATGAATGCTACTATAATAATAATTAATCAATAAAATTGTATCTTTTATTATAGGTAGTTGATGAGGTAACAATAACAAATGCTAATGCAATTATTATGCATACGTTACTCGTTATGTGCTTCTTCTCCGCATGTCTTCAAGTAATTGTTATCATTAATGCCTTACGATATATTCGTAAACATGCAAGCGAATGTTACATGCATATTTTTCTACTCAATATGACATTGGCTGACCTTCTCTTAACCGGTTAGTAATTTTGTTTAATAATTTTTCCAGGATAGTATTATTGGATAAATTAACAATCAATTGTTGCAATTAATCCCATGAAAAATTTCTTTCGTTTTAATAAATAATGATATTTGAAATTTCTTCCATATAATTAATTCTGTATATTTCAGGTATTGCATTACCAATGGAATTTTTGATTGATATTGATACGATAACGTTACAATTCCCGTATCGTATCAATCTGATGATGCACTTCCTTCTTTGGCTTGGTACTTCCGTATCCGGACTAAATTTGGTGCTTTTAAATGTTGATAAGCTCATTTTTTTCAAATTTCCTCTAAGGTATTTATCTTTTATCTTTCCTATTTTCCTTATAAAAATTAATTGCTTTAATTTGGAGTTAAAATATTAGCGATCATTTTTTATAATAATTAGCCTTCCTGATTTGTGATATTACTAATTATAATTAATAACAATAGGAAATTTTTTTCATTACATCAATATATATCGACTATTGAGTAATTGAGCAGGATGGATTAAGAGTTAACAGTCCGAATTTTGTTTAAAGAATCCTTATATGAGCAAATCCGGCCTATAAAGCCATGTAAAAATGTTCCTGCAGATTATCCTCATAATTCGTCGATTCGGAAATCTTTCAGTTCATCCATATTCTTTACGGATAATATGTTAAACATATATTAAATATATTTTCCGATAATTAAATTTTTGATGATGATTATTCTAATTTCTAATCATTGAAAGTGCTTCAAGATATTCTGAATTGATGACACGAAATCGAGCATATCTAATGGCGTTTGCAACCTGGTTTATTAGTGTCATCTTCATTTATCTGGCATTTTACACTCGAGCATTAATTTGTCGCTATAATTGCGAACGTCTTACCACTGATAATAGTCGCTATGGTCCATTAATGTATTTATTCTTTACATTTTTCGTTTCCGCTTTTCCGGCTCTCTCATCTTTTATGGTTGCACTTTATCTGTTACGAATTGTTAATATTCATAGGAAACAAATCGCTGAGGGTTATTTATTTTCATTTATTTTGTTTTCTTGTTTTCTTTATCATTAAAAATTACTAACAAAAATATTGATTAGTATAAATATAAACAAATAAGAATATTTGATTAGAATAGTATGTTTTCAAAATGAATATTATCAAAAATTAATTTTGACTAAGCTCAAATATTGGTAATGAGAATATGTTTAAATATATAAATAAAATAAAATTTTATCTCGAATTATTGTTCCGTTTTTTTCTCAAATTTTTTAAATATATTATTTCAGCATTTTAATACTTAATTTTTTCATGCATTTATTATTCAGATCTTCAACGGAAAATAATGTTAGGATAAATTGGATCAAATAATATTATATCATTACATGAATTATTATGTTGATCATAGCAATTCTAATCATCTTTTTGATAATGAATTTATCAGTTCAATTTTTAGAGCAGAAATTATGCATCGCAAACGGTATATGTCGGAAAAATAACGCTATGAAATCTGGAATGCGTACATTTTATTTCATCTTCATTTCAACCTTTTTCACTATTTTAACGCTAACACCGTATCGTTTGGTTACACTCTACAGGACAATAATTGACAAAGATACTGTAATCCGGACATGTAGTAGTGTCTTTATCAGTATACTTACCTATTATGCAATGAATCTAAATCCGGTATGTGTAATCAATCAAATGACTAAGAAATGATTATTTCAGTTAGTTTTCACATTTAAATATTCATTACCTGGATTTTCAATTTAATATATTAAAACTAGCAAAAATCGAATAAGGTATTTATTCACATTATCACTGCAAAATATAATATGTATTCGCAAAACAATACCTTTCCTCGGATACTGCTGATTAAATAAGTTAAATTATCAATAAATAATTTACCTTGCAATATTTAACAATATTTTATGCTTTTCCAGATTCTCAATCCGCTATTAACAGTAACCATATTACCGCAATATCGTTTATATTGCTTAAATTTCCTTATACCTCTTCGGCTAAGAAATAGTCATGACGAGATATTCGACAAATAAAACTATTGAAATTTAACAAAAAGAATGTGATCCATAACTTATTGCTATTCAAGTAAATTTTTCTCTCCTAAAGTGAAAATTGTCTCATTTTTTTGGAAGAGAGAGAGAAAAAGAATTACTTTAATCATTCACACTATTAGGTTTAAAAAAAAAATTGCTGTTAGGATTAAGCATCTATATTTTTAAAGAGATAGAATTTTAAATGATAATGTTAGAAAGCAGCAATACACTCAGTCTTACATAATAAATAATTTAATTTTAAATTATAGAAAAATAAACATATAAAAGTATAATCGAAATTGTGAAATAAAGCAAATTATGCATTTGTTCAAATTCAGCATTTCTCTCTGTTCATAAAGTATAAGTTAAATTATAAGCAATAATAGGAAGAAGTATTCGATAATTTTGCATATCAGCAAATACTGTCGATTCGTTGTAAGAAATTGAATTATCATTTTGCTATTATAATTATTTGTTATTTTTTTTTCACAAAATAAATTCATTGATGTAATGAATTTTTTTGCTTTCTGCTGCAAAATATTCAAATATATAATGGATTGGAAAACTGAATTTGTCGGAAATCCGAAATTACCGAAATTTTCGAGACAACTGGCCTGTATTTATTTGATAATCCTATGATTACCACGTCATTATTCACTTTAATTTCTGATGCCTAGTTAGCTACAAAAGCAACCAAAAAGGAGAGTATATTTAGAATTAAAATTTCTCTTCCTTCAATTCATATTTTACTTGCTGGTAAAAAAGTGTACTGTCAAATCATTCGGTGTTATATCACATCAACAACAATCCCATACTACACCTTCCCCAACTGATACTACAACAAAAACGATAATATCACTGACTGAAGCCGAGTTATATCCAAATTAAACCTCTCCAAGAAAAATCCATCATCAGCAAATAATTCGACTACGTTTCAACAAAGCTTTCCTCAATCAATCAAATCAAAACAAAAAAAACGTTCACTACTGAATATGAAAAACAAAAAAAAAATTCTATAAGGTTGAAAAAAAAAATGCATGGGTTTAATTTTTATTGATTTTGCTTTTGTCGCTAAAATTTCATCATTTAATTAGCACGAAATTATTTTTTACTTCTATTTGAATGTTAAAAATTGTTCGTTGCAAAATATTCGAATTAATTTTTGTCGATAAGTGCAGAATATTTGTTTTGCTTTTTTTTATTTCAATATTGTTATTTTTAAACTTTATTATAACAAGCGTTTTCTCGGACTGTTTATTTTCATTTTTTTTTTCTTGTTTTCCAATACGATCTCGCCAAAAAAAAACTTTGCATCAATTTTTTTTTAATATCATTATATTTGATGATTGAACTGGAACGATTGAACCTTAACTTTTACAATTTGTTCATTGTGATGTTTAGTGAAATATTTCATTTCTTATATTTGCTTATGTTTACTTGTTATACCAAAAAGAAATGAATCATAACAGATGTTTTGCAGAATAACTAGCCCACTAAGTTCATGTGGTGAAAGGAAAAAAAAAGGGATGAGTAATCAAAAATAGATGAGTAATTAATATGTCTAAAAAAACAAGCTAAAAAACGAAATGATTTAGAAGCTCAAATAAATTTTTTTGAAGATGAAACAAGTGAAAAAAGATATCTAGACGCTTGATAAAAATAATCTCTGATAAAAATTAATCAAAAAACGGTTTGGAAGTTTCGATTGGAACGGAATGAGGGAGAGAAGGGAAATTGCTATTCAAATTGTTTAGTTTTTTTGTGCACAAGTGGGAATTCATTTTTCAATAAGAAAATAAGGACAATTTTCGATAACTTTTTCGTATTTGTGACTCACTTTTTTGTAAAATACAATCTCAACAACTTCTCCGTTTCACTTCTTTGATTTAACTAAATTTTCGCATTTGTGACTTAGATCATTTGAAAAAGTTTATTCAAATAAAATTCCAAGAAATTTTTTAAAATACATATTCTCAACGAATATTTCTCCGTTTCACTCCTTTGATTTAACTAAATTCGGATAATTCTAAACACTCATCAGTTAAATTGAAAGGTTAATTAGGGTCAAGCAGTGTTGCTCGATCTTTAAATTCAAGAGGCAATTACTTACGCAGGATATCTATCGCAACCAGCAATTTTAAATTCTGTTCCAAACGAAGTGCCGCAAAATGAAGAAAGACTACAGTCGACAACAGAGACGACGGAGAAGCGAATTTTTTCAATATACCACTCATTATCGTCTGCATACAGATTATTCTCAATAAAATACGAAAGGGCTTGCGCCCTACCTAATGGCATTTCCAAACAGAGGTTAAATTCGACACATCGAGTAATCTCCACCTGAGGAATGCAAAAGCAGCAGTTATGGGAGGTTCCAATGAGGCGTTCCTCTTCCGGTGCCTACTGCCGGGAAAGGGTCAGAGTCGCTCAACATTTAAAGCTCGAAGAGGGGATGGGATCAGGTGTGCGGCGCTTTTCGTTGGAATGAGATGAGTTGAATCGAAACGCCTAATTAGGCGAGAATGCTAATTGATTTGTTACAAAGAATGCAACATATGAGCGATTCGTTTCTGAATCAATTCATTTCTGAACTACTTTGTACACTGGTTTCTCATATTGAATTACTTTTCACACCATTTGGCTTAAGAATCACGAAATCTCAAAATCAAAAATTTAAGAAAATATACTTGAATTTTCTAATTAATAAACGTGGTAACTCCAAGCAATAAGAATAATTGCTGAGATCAACTGAAAAAAAATGAACTCAAAGACGGGAACAAAACTCGAATAAATTGAAAACTGCAAACAAACAAGAAAAAATTCAAGAGGGTTAGAAAAAGTAGATATTCATCACATAATTCAATTCGCACAGAAAACGGCTATGAAAGTACGTGATCGGGATGAATATTCAGAGAGATCAGTACATCCGGATGCATCTGAAATATAATAACGAAAACTTAAATAATTGTAATTATCAGTATTTTGAAAAAAAGTAATGGGCAATGATGAAAAAGAAAAGTGTTTTACTGGAAACAAAGCTCTCTATATGATATGAACATCAAATATAATATGCCAATATAATTATACAGGCAAGTAATTTCTTAAACAGGTGAAATCGGTACCTGAGCTAACGTTTCACCATTTTCAGCCAAGTATTCGTGCAACTTCTCAATAGCTGTATTAGATGATACTAATTTTCTGCTAATAGTATCTCCCAATCTAGCCAATCTAAAAATAACACATTAAAAATATAGCACCATTTTTATGAAATTAGTTTTGTAGTTTAACTCTTATTTGCCCAAAAAAAAAAACAAACTCATAACAAACTTATCTGTTATACTCTGTTAGTCCTCGATTTCGCATAATCTTAAAAAATTGAATCTGAAGAAAAATAGATGAATTTACTTGTAACAAACAGCATATTCAAGACGTCGAATTGGATGAATCCATTCAGCATCCATAAGAAATGATTCCACTGTTCGTAATACCGATCCAATGTTATATCGAAATGAAACACTGACCAAAACATCATAATTCATCCTTTAAAGCATACAAATAAGATTAAATTAAAACCGCTTTCGCAAACTAATAACCAAATAACGGAAATTCTTTTTTGTTCCAGCTATCATCAACTGCGATAATTCACTTTGTCAATCGCCGAACTTTTTATTTTAAACAATTGTTAATATATCTCACATAAAAGATTAGTTCTGTTTGATTAAATAATAGCAAATTATCAATCTTAAATAATATTTTGTCTGCTACTGTTCATCAAAATTGGAGACGAGTTAAGGGCGAAACAATCTATTGATTTAAGCAGCTAAATAAGCTAGATTTTTAGCCTGAATTAACCAAATAAATTCCCATATAATAGCAATCAAAATTCTTTTAAACCAGTGATCCAAGCAACTTTAATTATTGGTATTCACGAAATCAACTAATTGCGACTGACTCCATACTCTAAAGTACGAATGCTGTGATGACAAGCCTTGTAACAACAATCTGTCGATATTTCGATGTCGCATCAATGAGACAATCTAATTCATAGGTTGAAATACCATCTATCCAGCACTTTTTTATACCCTTCGATCGCTGTTCATTCCACTCGGTAAACAGTTTCCCTCCGATGGATGCCAAATATGTCACATCAACAAACCATGATCGTCCCTTACACTAAAACTACTTTCTCCGATTTTGACAAAGGTAGATGAAAGATTAATTCCCATATTAATTTATGATTGAAGCAAATGAGCTTTTCATCTTTCTGATGACCAAAGAAATCTCTAATCAACTTAAAACTTAGTCTCATTTAATGGGATTCGAGAGCAAATATAATAGACTAACAACAGCGATTCAACTAATCAAAATGGTTTTTCTACCTCCTTCCAAGACAACAATGCCAATATTGCAGAAAAAATTGACAGTCAATGATTTCGTTCTGCTTATTGTAATAATTACATAATTGAACGAGCTTACAATTATTTCAAAATCTCTGTATGGTGTTTGTCCACTAAGGTCCTGCGGTGACAGTGTTTCAATAACTCGCAACCTTAATGTTACATCAACTCTGGATCCACTTCGTGTTTCCTCTTGCAACACAACACTCGATACATCCCATAAATCTCTATAAACCTGCAAGACACAACATGTTGAACAAATACTACTCATGTACAACATATAGTAATTAAGATAATAGGATAAAAAAAAGTTCTAATAAAATTGGTATTTTATAATTAACAAGATGAAATAGCATGATTGCGGAATACTACAAGAAACAGTTAAGTAAAATGTTGAAATATCGGATAAGAATGCTGAAAAAAATATTGAATAAAGAAAAGTTATATCCAAAATATATGCTAAAAGAATATGAGTTAAAGACCTTGAAATGAAAAGCGCCAACGGATAGTACTACATCAACAAGTAATGAATATGCACAATGCTCCTCCGGATTTACGCTTAATATCCATTCATCATATGATTTCTTCTTCGTACACTGAAAACATGTCGTAATTTAGGAGCAAAAATAACAACAAGAACGTAAGCTAAAATTTTTTAAAGAATTTCACTAATCTGAAATGAAGTCCTATTTCAATTAAAACGGAATAGTAAGCATCCGAAACCCAGAAATAAAATATTTGATGATTCTAAGAAACTGTGTAGTTTAAAAACTGTAATTCGTTGCATATGTTGAATAACACAATAAAACTGCTAGAATTTCTTTATGTTCATAATGTGATACCTGAATAACAGTGTTAAATCGAAATCATGTCGAAAATGATCGCATTTGTAACTAAATTTTTTCAAACATCACATTAATGAATAAAGTTCTCGAAGTTTAATAATTCAAATGCTTAATAGCTAAATATAAGATGAAGAAAATCTAACTACAAAGTAGACGACCAATCCCAGTAAACACACTTCGAGACCGAATCAGATTGAGAATACTTTTACACACTCAAACACACTGACGCTAACCTGTATTGTACAGCAATATCCGTATTCCGAAACAGTTGAAGACCATCCATTTGATAAATCGGCTCCACTCCATGTACGTTCTAACGTCCATGTTTGTTCCATACTATTTCAGCAAATTATCATCACGAAACTACTAAATCCAATTTTTCAAATTATCAAAGGTAAAATCGCTTCTTTCATTTCATAAAGCCACACTGGAAGATAAAAACATATGGAAGTATAAGGAAAATTAAACTTAATCCTCCATTTTCAAGATCCAATTCAAGGCATACGTAACTGAAGTACGAAGATATCTGTTTTCAACTCAAAATTCAAATTATTAAATGCATGAACAATATCACTAAAAATAAGTAAGTTTTATCATATATTATATACATAGTTAACATTAATACAAGTTATATAAATATATTTTTTAGAAACAATCACCAAAAAAAGATGACGAACAGAAGAAAAATAATTGGAAGGTGCAAAGAGCAAATCTTCTATCCCACTATACAAAATGAACAATCCAACTAAACAGTGAAGAAATAAATCATCCCTATTTTTTTTTGAACATTCCTTCGAACTTGTTTGACAACCAGGCATTTTTAATAGAAAATGCAGTCTGGCTAACTCTCTCAAATTCATCCTTTAAGCCTATATTTGTTCTGAAAATAAAGCAGTTGATATAGTTGCATGGTGGAGAGAAATTTCCCTCTGATTTCATCTTAATCAGTATTTTATTTTCTAATTTCCAGAAAACCAATCAAAACTCTCTTTTCCATACCAAATGATAAAAAATTTGAAATAAGCTAAAATTAAAAAAGCAGTGATACAGCAAGAAATGAAAGCATAATAGATCGTAATTTTAAATTCACTGGAACAATATATCAGTTAAATTGGTTTATAAAGTAACGTTGTCACATATTTCTTTCGATAACGATGAGTTGCAGAAAGTACCATAACACCATCCTTAATTGACAACGCATAAAGATGATTCAGCATTACATGGTTTGGTTCCGGTAATACATTTGGGTCACATTGCATGGGCGTGTCCTTATTGAGAATCACCTGCAAACAATAAAAAACCAAATGGACATATATATGATGTTCACATAATATTAAAATTATGTAATCATAATACCACCACAAAACAATTTTTGCATTAATCGCTTAACTATGACCTTTATTTAATTTACAACGAAAGTAGAATTTTTTCCTAATTAACGAAATCGTTTAAGAGCTTGAAAGTCACCCCATCTTCTGGATTTAAATATAAGATTAAAAATCTTTTGCCTTTATTATTTTCAATAGGATAGCTGGGAGTGGGCTTCAGAGTTATTGAATCAACAAGAACAGAAAAAGATTATGAGAAGATTACTTGAAAATACAGTCACTAAAAAAATCTCAACACGAGACCTGCAGAAGATGAGGTGGTAAAACCGGTGGATTCTGAGCCTTTTCGAACTCTCTACGATCTGGTATTTCCTGAGTAAAGTTTTTCAACTTTTCAATTTCGCGTTCATTAGGTGTATCATGTGAGGAAGGTGGTGCACCAGTCATATTTACCTTCCTCATCGCTTCTCCAGCATTTGAAGATGCTAAATCACGATCAAGTGCATCGAAGACCTAAAAATATGCAAAGAAAAAAATTATTGAAAACTTAATATGACGTGATGAGAAAATTCGCGTAATATCTTCAGTAATGCTCATACAGTTTGACAAGACCATAAAAGTAAGGATTAAATAAAAATTGAATGATTTGGCAAATCATAATAAGAAATTTCTTAAAATCCATCTCAACCACAAACTTGCATAACCTAAAATTTGCATTTAAACCATTTTAGAGAGATTTTTATCTTCTTCATAAAGTCAACAAAAGAAATACTTCGAAGTCTGCTTCATCAATTGCGATGACATTATTTTGACTACCAAATTTGTTGTCAGTTTTCGCAGCGTTCTCGTCGACTACCCATTTTCCATCAATAAAAAATTTATATTCATGTCTTCCTGTAAAAGTTAACAACTTTCATATGCAAGATTGTTTACCTATGCCTTACCTGCATTAGAACATAAGCTCGAAGTATGGTTATGTAGATGAAGCGAGATTTGTAAAATTTTGTGATCAAACGACAATTAATATCAGAAAACCTAATGAGGAACTATAAAATTTTAGGAACTTTAAAAAAAAAAAACCCAGTAGTTTCTTTTCAATGCCTACCAGGATTCAAGTTAATGATGGTTGAAAAATCCTGAGTAGATCTGCATAATGGTGTCATCTTTTTCCAGCCATCCCAAGAACCGGATATGTAAACTCCGCCTGCCTGACTTCCTCCTTGCCATTTAAAAACCACCGGATATTCATTTGCTTCAGAAAACTGGATACTTGGTGTTGAAATAGAACCATCGCTTTTTGCAATTTTTACCTGAAATATCTTTAAAAAATTCAATTGAAAAGACTTAATATATCTTCCTCCATCAAAAAGAAATGCTCCTCTAAATTACATGCAACAATTTCTCTTCAAATAAGCAACAGAAGCATGGATAAATAAAAGAAGCAACCAATAACAAAAAATTGATATTTAGCGGTGGAGAAATGGTAACCAAAATTAGTAATTTATAAAAAAAGAATGGTAATTTAAGAAGAAATTTAAAAAAGATTATAAAGAAAACATAATACTAATTTTATAAATTTTCTATATAATTTCCTTGATAAAAGGAAACAAAGCAGGATTTTGCGACATGGCCAATTAATTGATAATATATGCAATACCGATATCACTGTTCTTTAAAACATGTAATGAAATGTATACAAACTTGTACAGGACATCCATCTTCCGTCGTACCGCCACTATTCATCATATGACCCGATGCACCACTACCACCAGAGATACTGCCAGTCGCCCACTGTCGTGCACGTTGTTGTCCATCGAGAGCACGCTCTCGCTTATGAAGTCCACCTTGATTATTACCCATGTCACACCGCGTTGATTCGTCTTCCACGACTTCACCCCAACAACAGTTTCGTTTTTTATTTTCTTTACAAATAATAATATTCCACTTTTGCACTATCGTTCTTGCAAACTGCAAAACGTCAGTATAGGAAGAGACAGTGAAAGGAAAAGAAAGATGAGAAGAGCGAAAAGGAAAGAGAATTACAAAAAATAGATATAAATAAACAAAACAACAGCAAAATAATTTTACGATCAATAAAGTAATTAAATTATTACACACCACTAATCATAAACATTAAACATCACATTTTTCATTTGTTAAAAAATGTTGCATTAAGCTTCTACACTTTCCATCTGCAAGACACTTTGTAACAGCTATAGTAGTACCGAAACTCATAACTATGATATTTTACTTTACTCGATATTTCGAAATATTTCAGCTTTAGGATCTAAACTATAAAAGATAAGCAATAAGCTTTTGTTTACATTTTGTTCTTGTCGACAAAGAAGTAGTGTTTGGGAAGTAGAAACAGAGCAATTAAATACTTATACTACAAAGTTTCGAGAGCTACAGAATGAAATTAAGATAACAAAAATGCAATTTAATTAGCAAAAGGTTCAGTTTAAAGATGGATGACTGAAGATAACAACGGCAAAATAGGATAAAAGTGAGATGATAAAGAAGAAGTAGGGTAAATAAAAAAAACAAAGATTAAATAAACATAAAAACAAATATAATAAAAACAACATAAAAAATAAAGGCATATTTGCCTTATCATCTCATTTTTATCTTACTTTTATCCCACTTTTTTTATCCTACTATCTTACTATCATCTCATCTCAATTCTTTATCATCTCACTTTAAAAATAGATTTTATCAAAATCGATTATAACTATAATAAAAGAGCTCATTAGCAGAAACATGATTACAGCACGATAACATTATCGTTATCTTTTGCACTTGCAGTAATCATCATTAAAATGATTATTTCTAAGAATTTTTTCCCGTTTCATAAGCATAGGCAGGATATATTCGATCATTTACAGGACTGGCAACCAAACTACCGTACAGGATCAATGTAGGTCACCTTGCCATTTCCCATGCAAGAACCAACCCTCACGTGCTAGCCATTGCGGCCCGTTATTTCTGTCTTTCAAGAATTGAACAAAATCAATGAATTGATTGCTTTTTTGATTTTCCCGCTTCTTGTTTTCCATCGTTCTAAGATCTCTCCTTCCTTATTCATTGTTTGAGCTTGTTTTTCCTTTGTAATCTATTTACATCTTTCATTTTTCTTGGTTTTTAGAGAGATTTCACATCCATGAATAGTATTTCTAGATTTGAAATTCAATCGTTTTATCATGATAAGAACTTTCTCCATTCACGATGATTATTTTATCATTGTGTAGACATCTTTGATATTAGTAACTACATTTTAAGAATTGTCTACAAGTAAACCAATTAAATGATTATATAACTATTTAAGTTTTGAACATCATGCATAGATCTGAAGAAGTGTTACCATTTGCCGGCTAACTCATCGGTAGGATTTCTCCTGAAATGAGTATGGAAAGGCTGTGAATTTGCATGGAATCAATCCACAACGACATCGGAAAATAGTATTAAATATCATGAAGTAGTTGCGAAAGATCATTTGATGCAAAGATAAGCACAGTTAGCGGTCGCCTTACGGTTTGTTTCGCTTGATTGTAACAGTTTGGTTCTATATTATTGTTTACGCCATAAATATTCCGCAAACTCTAAGTTTCATTAAACTTTGATATTTGGTAACCATGCGGGTTAGAATAATTTGTTTGATTTGCTGAAAAATTTTGTAGATCACCGATTTGGATAATATAAGAGGAAATTATCCAATTAAATATGGCATCAGGAGAGGATGCTCTACGAGGAGTAATTACGGAGTTAAAAGAGAAAATTGCAAATATCACAGAGGAAATGATTCAACTGCGAAAACGCCAAAAAGCGTATATAGCAAGATTGAAGCTTATGGTAGGGACTCGGCAGTTTGCTACTTTGATTTTAATTTCAAAAAATTAAGCCACAGATAGATTTTTGTCGAGTAGCTTAGCAGAGAGCATCATAAGTTTCTTCCAGAATCAAGATCTTTAGTTGGTAGGTAATCACGATATCATCAAAGCATTTTCGCAGTTGTAAACAGGAACAATCATCTTCGGCAAAAGTTTTAATTAAGTGCTAGAAGTGAATTTTGTATAAACTTTTTAAAATTATTCTTCCAGGAAAATCATCTGAATCAACATCACCCAAAGGAAGGCATAGAGGGATGCACTGAACAAGCAGATAGCAGCGATGAATCGTTCAGCACTACCGAATTGTTGGAACTCAGCTTGTCATCAGTTAGTTCTTCGATACTTGACAGTAATGCATCATGTTACGGTAACGACAGTGATCAAAATGACTCGGATAGCAACGTGGAAGATGGCAGACATAGCCGATTTCGCTATAAAGAAAAGCAAGAAATTAGCAACAAGGAAACATAAATGGAAATTCTAAAAGTGATGAAGTGATTGCAAATGATTTAATCAATTTCTTCCCTTTCCATGCTCGCTCTATTAAACTTCATCCTTTTAAAAATACCGCTTTTGATTGCCGAAATTATTGCCTTCAGTGCAGTGAGCATTTCAGCAAAATCATTAAAAGTTCGGAAATAACTTCATGAATACGACAGTTTTGACCGGATAGATTAATCACTAATTGAAGCACACACAGAGTGTTGAGATTTAAAACATGGACAGCACTGCAATACAACACAACATGATACAAATACAAACCTAATGTTGCATAACCTAATACGCTAACCTGACGGGATAGCAACATTACTTAACTTCATTTGTAGACATGCATTAAAACTGAATAAAAATCCATTAAAAGTGAACAAAAATCAATGCTTCACAGTTGACATATTTGTGGAATTTTCGCAATTTTTAATGAAAAGTTAAAATTTGTGATGGAATAGTTTAGCGAAAATCATTTTAAGCCTTTGTAATACCACCTACATATAAATTATCTATGGTTTCGATGTTATAAATACTTCGAAAACTCGTTGTAAAAAGCCAAAACGAGAGCAGCACCAATACCACGTACCGTGTTTACCCATAAACCGCTGAAATAAGCCTTTAAGCCTTCCTCACGCCATATTTTCTGTAACAGATTTCATAATGTCGCACTGACTTCAAATTTTCACAACAACTCTTCTTGTCTCATAAAGCTAAATTGTATTTGAAACGCATTAGAAAAACAATCAACTGTAACACACACTGATTCATATGTGACGGAAATTTTTTTAGCCTGACTCAAAAAAAGTGTTTCATGCTGCCAGATAGCTTAACTTGTACACTTCGTATAACTTCTTCACTAACTGTTCTTTGTAGTTATAAATAATTCTATCACAGTTATAGCATTTATTATAAAGTTGAAAGAAACATACTATCGTGCAATGCCAAACTCCTCGGTAAAGTATATCCCTACGACCAGCCTGCATCATAAAACGTCTACGTATCGTATCCAATGGGTAGGAAATTAAAGCCGCTGTAAACGTTACCACCTATAATCATGATTGCATGTTCTCATTTAATTCTCCTTCACAAAATTTCGAAAAGTCAACATTTTTATTATATTATCAAAAGCAAACATTTTTCAGCACCTGACCAACCAAAAAAGCAGAAATGAAGCTGATATCGTTATTTCCATGCTTTGTTAATTGTGTTTTTGCCGTATCAAAAAGGCCATAATAAGCTCCACGATACAGAAAAATGTACTGAAGTGATGGCCAAAAACCGCTGCAAAATTTACATTCTATATAAGTTTCCTTCATAAAATAAAAATGTAATCGATAAATTGCAAAAAATTTCATTCATCTCTTATCGAACATAGAAGGTTTTTAACCTCGCATACATATACTGAATACAAACCCTGCTGTAAGCAAAATAGAATATAAACAACTTACTAATATAATCCACGTATGCCATCATGTTTGAATATCTTGTACATGCAGTCAAAAAAACCTGAGAATTCTCGAGATGTTCCTTTTCCCATATCGATAGCTAATCTAAACATTCACCTATCATTGAAGTTACGTGACTATCAATCAAGTGACGAGGATGATTCTGCACTTATCAACGTATTTGAATCTATAAATTAAACCTAAACAAGCCATAATGCTTAAGTTTTAATTGTAATTATCAATCAATAAAAGTTATTCCAACTTAACAAAGTTCTAATCTTTGGAAATTGAAAGAAATTAGCTCTCAAAAAATTCACCGTGTTCTTACGAAATCTAGTGGATAGATTATGCAGTATGTTGCAACACCAGACGCAGCACCAGCCCCAAGATTACCTAAAATTTGGTAACATTTTTTACGAATAAACAACTATTAATTGATAAAGAAAAACATCGTCAAAAAAAGTAAACTTTAATTTCAATTTCAATAAGAAGTTTCACAATGAAAACCAGTTAATTTGCAAAACCGTATCGTTAAACTCATAAAGGTATTTTTTATGAAGTATACTTATTATTAATTCTCACAGCACCCGGCCTGAAAAAATAATTACCTAAGCTGCTCTTATAATACCTAAGAAATATACTGCAACAAAGGACGCATGAAACAATATTACTCATTAGAAGCACTTGCGAATTTATTCAAATCCACCAATAAATTCATAAACCTGCTGTGAGGCGCCAGTAATCCTTTCTATTCACACCATTATGAAACCAAATTTTGAAGAAATCCTTGAAAGCAAATCCAAGAGATTCCTGTAATCAGTATAAATAAAGATAAACCAGTGATCTCCATCACTAAATAATCATCAACGAAATAGAATAATGAATTCAATATGTCTTTTATATGAACAGAAATATATTTAAGCTTCTGTACAATTTTAATTCCCTTTCGCTTTCATATTACATTCATCATTCGGATCGCATATGAATATACCTTCTAAATATCAACTTTCCTGATAAAGCTTGCTATATCAATTCTCAAAAAAAAACCAATTGCATCAGAGCTTAACTTCGCCATGAAAAGAATGAAGGTAAAAATTATAATTATTTATCACCTGTGAACAAGCTCGAGCAATATTGACCAAATTTCCACGCCAAAAGGATAGAAAACCTTGCTCAACCGGTATTCGCACGAAGCAATCAAGCATACCCTTGTAACGCTTCCCAACTGCGATAGTTTCTTGTGCGTTCTGCAGCTAAAATGATATTATCAGATTAATTCATTAAATCAACCCATTTATTTCAATTTTTACTTCTTGTCAATAGCTCAAATTTTCGATTAGTTTTCTATGACTATAAATACCTATTTGAATCGATAAAAATAAATGCTACTCGTAATATATGAAACGAAACATAAAGCTTAACCACTTTGCAAACCGAAAATGCCGAAAAATTCACTAACAAAATATTTTTCCTGAAATATTGCTACAGATGTTTGGAAAAATGAAATCATCACACATACAATTATAACTTTTGAAAGAAATATAATTAAACTAGAATTTCAACAACTTCAAATATACCTGTAGGATTAATTTAACTCGCTCGATAGGAGCTATAATTGTTTTAGCTACTATCGCTGCGCTAGCTCCCAATGTTAAATCTTTCAGAAATTTCGACGCATCACTAGCATTAGGCATATGATCATGACGCATTGCATCCCTCAATCTGAACTGACAACGAATCATATCAGCAATATAATTTGCAACTGCACTTCATCATCATCATATTACCTTCCTTCCAGAAATTCGAAACAAATATTGCAAATAATATTCACAAGATGACTTGAACTTTTCAAAGGATTTTCTTACGGCATCACACAATCTTCGGTTTATCAATAAATGCTAACCCATCAATCATGATTAAAAATTGTCGATGTCATCTTCTTTCATCGTGATATTTGATTTGAAAATGTGAGATTTCTATTAGCCTTAAATGAAAAGAATAAAAGTCTAACTAACATAAATTTTTTTTTTTCAATGAAATTTTCCTGAAAAAGCGTTCATTCAAAACTGTCAAGCATCCTACAAATGATACTTGTTCATTCGTCAAACTGTCAAGTAAAGTATTCCCGAGGATTCGAGATACCTCGGCGAATAATCTACCCTTCCACGGAACTTATATATGCATCTATGCTAGCATTACGCTATCAATCTCACTTCTCTCGTTCTCTCTAACTCTTCATTATCGTCATATGTTTATTTTCTCAACCTATCACCTTACTATTGTTCTCTCGTAACTCCTTTCAATCTCTGCCACCATAATAGAGTTGGAAATGCGGAAAAAATTGCGTCCGCGAAGGGGAACAAGTGAAATTTTTTCAAAAGATTGGGTGGGGTGACGTGCGTGGCGTAGGGACACCAATCATGTACTGATCTTGACTGTAATCTAATATAACAAACAGAACATTCATAAGGTACTCTTTAGTCTTAAAGAGATGTATAAAAAATATCGGGATTTATTTCCAAAATTCAAAAAAATAAAATTTGTCTTCCCAGCTCCAGTTAAACTTCTTTCACGTTACACGAGAGATGTAAGATTGATAGCGTAATGTTAGCATAGGCGTATATATATTTAATAATTTCCTGGAAAGGCTTTTTTTTTATTTTTTTAATAGTGTATCAATTTTGGAGGTATCCCAGGTGGTGGTTCTACTTTTTATCCGTCCGTTGATGTTGAAGGACAGCCAAAGTTGTCTTGCTTAACATTTGGCTCAAATTGGCTCCCGAATGACAGTTTCGCCCATGTATTAGGCATTTTTGAGCCAATCCATTCACGATATGGCTATTGTTGTAGGATTAGCATTCATTAAATTGTGTGGTTGTCGAAATAAATTTGCTTCTTGGTTTTTAGTTTTGAAAATGAAAAAAAAAATGATTTTTAGAAATCGGATAGTGAAGATTGACAATGTCGCGAAGACGAAAATAATTTTATAATAAATCTGTTAAAAAAATTAAAATAAATTTATGTTGCAGAAATCCGTACCATAAAGATTACTCATCATCAATAGCTTAAACTGTCCCAAAATGTTAAACTACTTTTGTGCTCATAATTAGCTCACTTTATTATAATAATATTCGTTTTTTCACATGACTGTAAACTGTCAACTCCCTTATACATTTAGCTGTCTTTGTTTCCAAAGATTTATAATAATGCGCTTTATGCTAAGTTGGTCCTTTTGTTCACTTATGTCCTAAATGATTTCAAGTAGTGAGCCTCAGTTGGGTTCAATCACAGTTAATTTTAAATGGTATAACAAATAGCAATCGATTCCACCCTATTAACTATCTTATGACATCTAAGAATAAGCTTTCCGTCAACCAATAAAATCTTATTCCAATCATATTCGTCGATATCAGTTTGCCTTCCAATATCAACAGCAGATATCTTGACCAAGTGTGGTAAATATTTTGGCACTAATAATCTTCCGCTTTCCTTCCTCTTTTCTCTTAAGAATTCGTCATGACACCAAATAAACTCATCTCATCAGCATAAATCGAAATTCAAGCAATAGAACGTCGAAGCTCACGTATGTCGTCTTCAAGTATAGCGTTTAACTGGCTGCAATGACGACAGGAAAGCTACACAGAATATTTGACACAACGAGTAGCTTTTCAGGAAATTCTCAATATGTGCCATTTTTTATAACTCTAATTGAATCGGATCAGATAATCGTCATAGAAGCATTTCCAAATTTTAATCGCAGTATAAACAGATGAAAGTTATAACTTATTGTAGCAATTGCTGAATAGTATAATAAAAGGAAAGAATTTCATTTTATTCTCTACATGAATACGAGAAGAGGAAAGAATCCAATATAGAATGATAGACAGTGGAAATGCACTGAAATAATTCCATTCCATGTTCATGTGAGAAATTTTAAAAACAAAAAGAAAAAGATAGACAAAAAATACAGTTTCAGCGGCTTAACAGAGAGCAGAAGCACAAGGCAAAGTCGAATTGTAACAACAGAGTACTTAATAATATAGAAAAAAAAACACAAAAATTGACAAGGACATCTCACAAGTCATCAAAAAACTCTGCAAAATAATTATCAAACAAAATCATCAGTAAATTAAACAAAAATTGTTTTTTTAAAAATACTTTTAATTATTAAGATCACCTGATGAATTCATTACTTTTAATGATTTTGTATACGATTGGCGTCAAAGTGAAAGCATGCACGGTGAATGGGTAAAAAGCTCACATGCCATGGTGTGTATGATAATGAAGATTTTATAAAATAAGGGGAAATGAATTAACGTAAAAAAATACATATATATATATATGTCAAAATAAAATAATAATGATAACTAATGAATGAATTTGGATAATCCTTAGCAATGTTGGATGCAAATAATCGTGAATGATGATAGCTGAAGGGAATCACTGTGCGTGTTTCTAAAAATGATCACAACCTTTTTATAAAGAAACAAAATCATCAACACCATCATCACCACATTGTAGTATGATGAACAC